ACTCTCTCCCGCGTCGCTGACCAACGGGCCAACATCGCAACATAGGCGGATCCAGGGTGATCTCCTGGCGAGGGAGGAGGAGGAGCGAGAAGCGGTATGCGACTTAGTGGACCGAAACATCCCTGTTCAGGTTTTTTAATCCGATTTATCTTATTCACCTTCCTTTTATTCTTTTCTTTTTAACCCTTACTTCTTACATAAACACACATCATCTAAAATTAAAATTACAACCGAACAGAGTTTTCTACAGTAAAACAGTTGCTACCTGAGCTCCTGGGCGGGTGATAGCGAAAGACGTTTCGTCCCCTCCCCTCTGGACCCGCCAGTGGAGTCCAGAATCGTGTTGCAGTGAAATACCCAACATCGTACTTAATTCAGGCAACAGTCCTCTCAGTATCGACCTGAGATGTTTGGATGCATGGTGCAGATCCAGGGTGATCTCCTGAGGAGAGAGGAGGGAACGAGAGGTCTTTCGCCCAATTCCCCCCTAGGAGCTCAAGTAGCAGCTGTTTTACTATAGAAAACTCTGTTCGATTGTAATTTTAATTCCAGATGATGTGTGTTTATGTAAAAAGTAAGGGTTAAAAAGAAAGGAATAAAAGGAATGTGAACAAGATAAATCGGATTAAAAAACCTGAATAGGAATGTTTCGGTCCACTAAGTCGCATACCACTTCTCCGAGTCGGGAAGGGGCCCGACCCTCGCGCCCCGTCTCTCTCTCCGCCCGCCGCCTTTCTGCCTCTCGCTCACCTCTTCCTGAAGCACGGGACGCGCCCCTCATCCTGGATTTGTACGTATTTTTGTGTATCTTTCAGATTATTAGTAGGGTTTTGTTCATCACTGCTTGTGTTGCACTTTTCTTCGCTGGCATATCTCTCGTCTTCGACGATACCCCTCGAATATCCGAGAAACCCCCGATCTGTACATCAAACTGGATCTGGAGGGGGTGCCTGTCGCCCTGGCTGAGGTTGCGCGGAAACATTGGCGGATTGAGGAGGGAGAGGGATGTTTCGCCCCCTCCTCCAAGGGTTCAGGTAGCAGTTGTTTTACTGTAGAAGACTGTCTTTAATACCGCCTGTCGCTCCCCACCAGAAGGAACCTTCTTTTCCCGCCGTAGTTTAGAAGAGGGGGAGGGGGTAGCGGGACGTGGAGCGTCCAACACAGCGGTGACCCGTGGGAGGGAAGGTAGCGCGGCGGCCGGGGGAAGATGGGGGCTTCCGATGTATGGACGAACGGGCAGAGGGAGAGGGGGAGGAAAATCGCTCCCCCTCCTCCAGGAGACCGCCCTGGATCCGCTTATGCACCTCCCCCCTCCCCTTCCAGGAGCCCCCCCTGGATGCGCGGAAGAATGCGCTTTTCTAGTTCGCGCTCCATCTTTTCCCCGGACACTGAGGTTCGCTTTTCACTGTATCTCGTTTTTCTCATGTTCCGCCCGCACGGAGGTTGAACGAGGAAATGCTTTTTCCGCGATTGCTTCTGCTCTCTTTCGCCTTACCCCC